CAAGTCCATCTTGCTGCCACTGAGGTTTCTCCCAACAATATAGATTATCAGTCATTTTGCTGTGAGTCCATCCTTGTACTGTATGTGTGAGGACAGACTTACCTCTGTTTCCACCTATGAACATATTAATTTCCACAAGACTTTTATTGCTTTCTATTTTTAACTTTCCTCCTTTTTTTCTTTGAATTCCTGTCATTGAGCTTTATCATACTCTTATCAGAGCCTTCATTTCTATAAAATGCATTCTTAAATTTCTTATAGATCTTTTGTGAATACTGGTTTAGATCTAGAGAGTAAGATACCTCCAACATGTTTTTTTGAACTAACTGAATCCAGGACACTGAAAATTTTCACGCTATAATGTCCAGAAATACCTTTATCAGGCTCATCATTTAGCCGGATCACTTACTCTGATATGCTTTCTTGTCTATTCATTTTCCTATTGGACATGTTGTCTCTGTAAGTCAAATAAAATCTACACATTTGTGTGTATGCACCTTATAGTATACCAACTGTATTTCCTACACTTGAAAAAATAGTAGAAAACAATTTTCTCTGTTGTGTTTTTCCAGGCTTCACTATTTTCCATTGTCAATATTATGCCTGAATTGCCTTTTTCCCTAAATGATCTATATGTAAATGCTGTTTAACTGTCTTGTGAGATTCAGAGTAGATAGCATTTACTTACAAACATTTATTGTTTTAGACGATAAGGATTTAAAGATAAAGTGGGTAAATGCCTTCGAAGGGTTTGCTGCAGGTGGACATAGATGTATGAAAAAAAATTAGATACGATGTAGTAAAATCATCTACAAAGTTGTGAAGCAAGCAACATGTAAGTATTTCTTTGCTAGAGTGGGTGTGGGTATTGACTTGCAAGTCACAAAAAAGCTCTGAAGATAATCATGCATTGGGCATAGTCTAAAAGGAGCAGTGAGAATTTTCCAACAACTATGAAGAACATTTTAGAATGGAAAAAAACTGACAGAAAAAGAAGCTATATAAATTAAAATGTCATACATATACCAGAAAATGTTTTGTCTAACAAAATATGTTTTTTGAAAATTTTTTAAGTTAGAGATGTTTGATGATCAGACTCATGTATCAGAAAAATCCATCTGGTAGCAAGATCCATAGGAAGAGTGTTGGATTAGGCACGCCTTAGCTGGCTGTTATATTAAGTTAGAAAAGCAGTGGAAAGGGTAAAAGTACAGACAAAAATAAGTGAGAACATTTTTTAAAGATTTGTTTCATTTTATTGTAAAATCAGATTTAAAGATAGAAGGAGAGGCAGAGAAAAAGATCTTCCATCCACTGATTCTGTCCCAGTGTGTGTGCTACTGTCAGAGCTGAGATGATCTGAAGCCAGGAGCCTCTTCTGGGTTTTCCATGTGGGTGCAAGTTTCCAAGGCTTTGGGCATCCTCTACTGCTTTTCCAGGCCACACACAGGGAGCTGTATGGGAAATAGAGCAGCAGGGAAACAAACCAGCACCCATATGGGATCCCATGTGAGGCAAGGACTCTAGCCACTAGGCTAACGTGCCAGGCTCAGAAATGGGAACGCTTAAGAAATAATGAATTATAATTAATGGATTGGAAAACAATCCATTAGGATTGAAGGAAAAGGGAAAAGTTAAGAGAATTTTAGTTATTTGGATTTAAGGCTACTAGCAGTTTAGTCCATAGCATATGAGAAAAAGCAAATTTGGGAATGAAATATTGTGGATTTTGTGTTGGGATGTTGAAACTCAACATATTGCTGAGAAATCCATGCTATTCAAGAAGGAGGGATTGGGATTAACCTGGGAGGCAAAAATATAAAATTCAGCATTGTAAATATGATACCTGATGATATTAGAATGGAAGGAGTTATCTGAAGAGAGAAATTAGAGGACAAAGGATGGACTCTCTGGGAGCCATGATATTTAGTGGGATGATAAACATGGAGGAGCCATCAAGGAGAGTGAAGAGTAATCAAAAAGGCATAAAAAAATTAATTAAAGCATGTTTTCTTATAAGAAGGAAAACAAATGAAGCACTATAAATATTGGAAGATGAGCCAGTTAAGTTAATAAAGCATCCATAAATCATCATGTTTGTAGTTAGAATTAGCACATTTGCTGATGCCTAATTTAGAGAAGAGCAGTTGGACTGGAATTGTACTTGTATATTGTGAATGCCAAGAATATGTGGTATCATTGAAAAGTCATGTCAGAGTACAGTGTAACACAGAACTGTACAGCATCACAAGATAATCTGTCCATCTGTTTCTGGACATCCAGTTTTCAGGTTGGTGTCCATATCTATGAAAAAATCTGCAGATACAGCAAGCAAGCATTATGGGGAGACTATGGTTATAGATTAAAGACATACTCATACATCATGGCAGGTGATGACTACAGGGAAAATTGACTTTTTCTTGGGCTATGTAGATTGTATAATGTGAACAGATCATTTAGTAATTTCACAAGAAAAAATTTTGAAAACTTCAAAGAAGGGATAATTGTTAACCAGGAATGTGGTACTTGCTTCGTCATCAGTGACATGAAAGGGAGCTGTATATCATAGAAAATAACAACAAAAACATCAAAGAAAGAATTTATATCTAAGCTGAGGTCTCAAACAATGGATAAACATTATCATAGACTTTTTGCAGTAATCCAGAAGTAATGAAAAGGAGGTAGTATAACTGGTTGTGGTTGTGCACAAATAATAAAGTCAGAAGTTTGAGGGCACTAAGGCAAAAGGTTAATAATGCTCTCCAGATGTGGAGGAAAGTTCCTGAGGAAAACATTTTTCTTGATCATGATCAGAAAGAAGATGTAGCTCAAATTAGAAAGTTAGTGGGTTACAGGCAGATAGTTCTGTTAATTTTGACTTTAGAAAAACAGATGGCCAAGATTCTACATCCTGCACTTTCTAGGTGCAAATAGGGAAGAGACTACATACTCTACAAAATGTTTCACTTGAAGCATTTTATTTTATGCCAAATTCCGAGGAAACGTTTTATTCTTCTAGTATGAATAAGAGGAATTTAAATATTTATAGCCCCTTTGCCCTTGGCTCAATGTTATTTGATGCTTACTTTCCAGTTTTTGTTCCTGCTTGGTCATTAGTGCCTGTATATAGTAAAACGATATGAAGAAAAGTAAGCAAGTACAAGATAAAAGAGGTCTAGCACTCTTGACTCCACTTCCTGGATATGTTTTCCTTAAGAGTGTGTGTGAGTGTGTGTGTGTGTGTGTGTGTGTAGTGAATTTTATGCCTGATGCATTTGAAACTCTTGAAATAAAACAGGGCAGTGTGGATGTATCAGGAAAACTTGGGCTTGTGAGGCTCTCTTGGTCAGGGTGGGATCAAAGAGTTTCCTATCAAAGTCAAGTAAGGAGTTACCTCAAGGGAGGGCAAGTGTGTAGGTATGTATTTGTGCATGTTAGGAGCAGAGGCTGATTGCAGAATCTGAAAAACACCTAGCTTTTGCCTGATTCCCTTCCTGCAGATAAGCAAGTAAGAAACAAAGATGTGATACTGGGGTCAACAAGTCATAATGTAGGATGGTTCTGGTTGAGAACATCAAGGAAGTGAGCTACTGGAGTACAAAGGAGGTGACCATAAAGACTGGGAAAGTGTAGTTGGGGCACTCAGCACATCTATTACAGTATGGCTGAAGCTGTGCTTTTCTCCTCTATTCCCCCCAGCATGTTTGCTAACACCAAGTCTATAGTGTGTGTTCAATAAATGCTTAATAGACTGAAAAATTCCAAGAAAACTGTGTTACTTTTAATATCAATCATGTGAGCATGCAATGTTGCTAAATACAAAAGTCATCCAGGCTCACAAATGACTTCAGAGACTGACACTCTTTTAATTATAGAACAATGTTGAGCTTATTTATTAAGACATCATATAGATCCTTTCCTGTCCTTACTGAATGATTATACATTTTCTCCTTGGTAATACCCTGGTGTCACTTAACAATTGTGTTTACCCATTATTGTTTCTCTGAATTAGCAATATCATTATTTTCTTTTAAGTGTGCATTCCCACCATGTCTGAGGAAGGAGAATTGCATAAAATGTATTGTAATGCACATTTCCTATTGAAAAACATTTTTTATGAACTTGTAAGATGCTTACAGTTGATAAAGTTGACAGGTTTACATGTGTTGCAAATGAGTCAAATAGCCAAAATCTTAGTGCTTTTAGAGAAACAAAAGTTGAATAAAAAGGATATCACACCCATGATAAATTTGTAGATTTCATATCAGAAAAATATCTTCTGGGGAGTATATTTTTCCAAATAACATATATTTGAATTCCTATTTTTTTCTTTTTAAGAAAAAAGTACACTTGTTTGATCTAGTTATACCTATGGTATTATCTACCTAGGTACTTTGAGAAAGGCAGTTCTTTCTGGGCCTTAGTATCCTTCTCTAAACATTGAAGCTGAACAAATCCATCTCTGAAAGTTTCCATTAATTACACTTAATTTTATGGTAGTAGAAAGCTTCTTAGATACAGATAATGAATTCAAATCTTACTTCCACCCCTGTTCTAAGGTTTTTAAACTTGGAAAAGTTATTATCTACTGAGTGTTGATTTTCTAATCTATGAAACGGGATAATGATATCAGTTTAGTTGACTAGATAGAGGATTAAATGAGTGAATACATGTTGCAAAGTAATTGGCATTGGTATAGTATTGGTATCCAGTGCCTATCATTTAACTAAAGTCTTTGTTTTCTACTCTTTCCTAACAAATTTGGATTTATGTATATTATTGATTTGCAAGTAAAAGATGTTAAAATAAAATTGTAGAAACTATGAATTTTTGCTAAACAAAACACAAAATGTAGATATATTGGAAACTGTCTTTCTCTTCTCAGCTTGGGAATGCCCTCCCAACTTAGACATTGCCTTCCCAGATTGGGGTTGAATATATTCAAAGTAGAAAATGTAGCAATAAAAAGTCAAACTAAATCAAAAGCTCCATACGACTTCACAATTTAGCACAATTTATAAATTCAAGACAAGCATGGCACCACATGCATCGATATAATATATCACATAGGAATATAAACCCTCCACATAAACTCAGCACTGATTCTAAACTTTACAAAATCACAGGAAATCAGTTTAAAATTACACAACTTTAAGGAAGAAGAGAGTCACAAGAAAGCTACAATGATAGTTGAGGAGGATATTAAAGAGTGATTATATGGACAGGATGTTTTAGATTTTCTAGGTCCCAGGAACATCTTTTCACATCTATGATTGTAGTAATAAGTAGATAAATTTAAATTTTAGTTGGACCTGTCGTCTTCTTTGGGTTGGATAGAAGTTGTCTGAATTTTTATCTGTCCTGTTTTCAGATATTGCTAATTTTTCTTCTCGGAATAGCTGATTAAAGGTCAAATGAGATGTGTGTGCCTATCCCAGTCAGTAGAAAAGTACTGTAAAGGGAACTATAAGTAGAATTGCCTTTTGACCTATCTGTAACTGTAAAGAAGGGCTGAGTTCCTGGTAGGACCACATAGGTTACCTGCTAAAATGCAGTTTTACCTGCTTCACCTGGAACTATATCTAAGCCCTAAAGGACAGCTGAGTGGGTCCTTTACTGTAAAGGGACTTTCTGCTGTTGGCTGTCCAGTAATGCATAAACCATTGGTAAACTACTGGTTCCTTATTTATGATAACTAATAAGTGATTTCTTAATACTGACCAGGGGAATTCCATAACTTACAGAAACTTTCCATATAAACACAACAGAGGCCATCAACAGTATCATTGAGGGGTTGTAAATTTCTAAGGATGATAATTATATCAGAATGCAATTCACATTAATTATTAGTAAAAGTTTACAAACATTAAAAAGTGCATAATACATTTGAATTTGTTAGGGCTGAAAAAAGTCATGAAATCAAAACATGAGGACTTTATTTTGTGATTGGCATCCAAATTACAAGGAGATCATGTTCTCTGTTTTAGCTTACTGCAAATGAGGAACATAGAACATTTGAAAAATTTGATTCCACAGAAGAGTTATCTGCATTTTCTTGGCTTTTCTACATTTCTAACTCTTTAAAGGTCTCCTAGTTAAAAAGTTTAAAAGTTGGGAGAAGTTTCTCCTGTTGAGAATAAAAGGAAATTCACAAATTGAAGTCTGCTCTGTACAGACATCCAACTGATTGATTTTAGGTAATATTCACATTAGAGGGTATTTTCAAATTCCTGCATAATAAAACAAAAGAGTCTTGATCAATCTGGTAGACTGCATCAATTCATCCACATCAGCATCAAGGGGAAAGATTATGTTTAAAAAGGTGTATTCTATCCTGTGCACACCATCACACTATGAAAAAATTAAAATAAAAATGCAGCCCTTTTAAAAATGAGTGGTATAAAAATTCACAGTAATATACATCGTATTTGTTTTTCATAAGCATTCAAAGAAGGGGGCAGTGCTGAGCGTCTAGATTGTACAATACAAAACAGTGTCAGTAACACATCAGTAAACACATGGAGATACAATGCTAAAAACGGTGCTTTCTGGATGGTTCATTTACTGGGTGAATACTTGAGCCAGAGTTATTCAAACTCTGGGGTTCAACCAATCCTTTGCAATTAGACACAATTAAATCCTCTGACATTGTAAGGGGCCAGATGCTACAGGAAGAATCATCATCTAGGTCAGTGCTACTCTCTACAAGCATTTCATCATATGGTCAGGTGAAAGGATCCATCTGAAAACGACGTCCAAACCCAAACCACATGATTTCAACCATTGCTAAAGACAGAGGTAGAGAAAAGTCTGTCTGCAACCATAGCCTCTGCTCCCATTTTTATCATGATAATGAGCAGGCTCCTGGGAGGCAGTACAGACATTTTCTTTTTCCCCTGTTCACTCATGGAAACAATTGCATTCCATCCACGCCTGGACATGTGAGATATTGTCAGGTGTTGCTGAAGGTCAAAGTGGGGCGTTAGCTTTCAGATTTTGCTGCTTCACCTTGGGTTTCCCCACTTTGCTCTGCTGAATTTCGTTGTGCATCTTCTTCACCTTCTGCAAGAGAAATTGAAAAAAGGGTAAGGACAATGAAAACTATCACTTTTATTTACTGGCTCACAAAATATTGTAATGAAAACTTCAGAAATACTGGAAAAGTCTGAAACTCTCATAGAGCCAAGTGCATTTTCTTGGTGCTCAGGTCACCACCAAAAAAATAGCTCAGAATTTCCAATGAATGCTTAATTCATTGACACAAACAACATTTTAATAATTACTAGCAGTTAGTAACAGTTTTGATAAATAGCTAGAAAATCTGATTACCAATGTGTAACAGGTTGCAGAAAGAAGTGTCTTTAAGTGGAAATAAAAAATGAGAGGAATCTTTTTTTCTCTACCTGACTTGAACACATTTTAAAATTGCATTTTTCAAATATGTATAACACTTGATGATAAACAGCTGACTACTCAGAGGTTGTATTAGTTCAAAGTAAAAGCAGTAGTGGGATATAAAAAGACATATTGTTAGCCTAACAGTCCCTTGTTAAATAATTATAATGGTGTCTGATGTGACCTTACAGATCATATGCACAATTTCAGCAAATCTGTCATCTCCTCAGAACTACACATTTGGCAATAATCTTAGCTAGTGATATAGCACACACTGAAACCGAACAGTGCTTTCACAATATGGGATAGCTTTGTAAGAGTGCAAGCTTTAGAGAATCCTTAATTCAAAGATTAACATTTTTCCTGTTATTTGGTTCCTAGGCAACCAATATGGCTTGGTGAACAAAATATTTTGGGGTATTTTCTAAATTAATTACACCAGTATTTGATAGAGGTTTGTTATAATTCTCATGGTTGAAAATAAGTGGGTTGATAGCTTTTTTTGACCATAATGTTGAAAAACAGTACTCTTAGTAAGTACCCACCAGACATCTGACCATACTCCAAAGAAATGGAAATTTTTAAGAAAATCTTAAAAAGTTCTCATAGAAAAATCATGTTGTGCCCTAACGAGGCTTCAATGGTATGATCAAGCATTGCACATTATTTTTATATACTACTTTTATTGTTAGAAAAATGGAAAGGCTCCCAGCATGCGCAGATGGGGATGTGGATTAGCATGGCGCGAGAACTTACTACATAGGTAGGATAAGCTCTTGGTAACCAAGGGAATGGAATCAGAGTAGATGTTAGTAGGATGTTTAAGGATCAAAGCGACTGCGTAAGTACAAGATGAAGAACTTGACTCCTATGGGATTTCAGATTTTCTAGATATCTGGTGGCATTTCTTCAAGCCTAGACTAATGCTGCAAGCAAAACTGTCAAGAAATGGAGCTTGCTAAGAAATCAAAAGGTAAACACGAGGCAGGAAAATTGTTGAAAAACTAAAAGGAAGCAGAAACGCAGGAACTGTAAGAGGAAACTGCTTCATTCCTCAGACAGCAGTGTAAAAAAGCGTTTTACAGGAGTGATGTTTTTATATTTTAGACTTTCATGTGGTTATTACTTCTTTTTTGTACCTTAGAATAATAAAGCCAATGCTGTTTATACTTTGCTGCTTGTGAACTTTATGATTTGAGGAGAAATTGTTTCAAGAGTCTAGAAGATGACAACCTGAAAAATATTTATTTCATTTTCCTCTAAGTTATTTAATTTTAAAATACTTAGTTAAAATATGATTATTTTTCATGTTTATTGAAGTGAAGCACTAATTTATTATTTAAATGACTGATAACAATTATGTTTAACATTTTCTCTTGTGTAAGAAAGGAGTTGGGGATATCATTCTCAATTTTAAGGCAAACAGAAAAAGGAGAAGCTAAATTACATGATGAATTAAAGTGTCTCAATATTAAGGGTGAATGCAATTAAAACAGATTATTTAAAATGGTACACTAATGTATGAAACTAAAAAATCTAATGAAAGAAATTATTAGCAAAGTCTCATAGGCAACATAAAATATGTATTTACCCATCTCATGTCACAAAATCATAATAATTCCTTGTAGTCTTTCTCAGATCTGCTTTGGGAAGTCATTACTGATTTTAAAAGAGGAGTGAAATCTGAAGATGTAACTATTTCAAGGTGATATTAAAGTTTTATTATTAATTTAAATATTAAATGAAAAATCTGTGAGCTCCTGTATCCTTATGGCATTTTAGGATATATACACTGGTATATATACTCAGTTTTCCTGTGAACTGCAGGCTTTCCCATAAAAATTCTAATAGTGAAGACATTGAATGATTACTGTTAAAGTCAGAAACTGTGATAATTGCTTTTCGCTTACAAAGCATTATGGTTTCTTTATCATGAGTTCTTCCTATTTCTAAAGGTTATTTTTGTGCATGTCTTTGAAGGGAAACATATTCAACTTCGACACTTGGAAAAGCTAGAGAGGAGGGGATAGTAGAGGATTTTAATATTTAGAAGGAATGCTGTCAACTATTTTATTGTATCAAACTAATTTTTCATTTTTAATACTGAAGTCAGACTCGTTGAGTTGTAATTAAAAGCACTTTTTTCACAAAACATTTCTATCAAGAAAGGAAAACTAAAAGACCTCTTGAGCCAAGATTCACTTAACACATTATTTTACTTCCATTTCCCACAAAATTGGTTCTTAAGACCATATTCTTCTGAAATGTTTTTTAGAATTAAGGTCCATGAGGCTGACCTGTAAAATTTATTTAGTATTTACCAATAAATCATTAGAGGGACTATTAGTGTCAAGACTGGAAGCTTTAACTTCCTTAAATATTCTGTATAAGCATTTTCAGAGCTTTTTATAGTGTGTGAGATTTTTAAAATCCTGTGTATTTTTATTGCATTAATAAAATTAGATCAAGGACTCAATATTTGATTGGAGAACCCTGTAAAGATAATTCATTGAAAATGAAATGGGAAATATCAAGAGATTGGTCAGAAATTTTTGTCTGGCCCTGAAAATTTTTTTCTTTTTCTTTTTCTTTTTTTTTTTTTAAGGTCTTGTCACTTGGTTATTTTCAAAGCTGTCTTTTTGTGCCTTGATCTTAGTTAAATGCTGCAAATCATTCTATGTTGATAGAGATAGGTGTCAAAAGACTTACCTGTCTTGTTGATATCAAGACCTGCTAATTTCAAGGCTAATTCATTGCTGTTGCCACTTGCAGAAGAAACCAGGATGTCATGAATTGCATTTCTTCTACCTGTTCTTCCTGAAGCAATGAAATCTGCATATGTAGTTTCCACATCAGTCATTGCTAACAAATATCCACATAGCAGGGACTATGAAAAAGAGAAAAAAAAGAATAGTTAAATATATATGGTGGCCAATAGTAAGCATTTAACAAAGGAACTTAGTAAACTACTGGACTTTGCATAATGTAGCTATGAAACAATGGTTTTATTTACATATATGCTAAGTGAGTAGTGCTTTGATTTTTGTCTTGAGTATTTAGATCAAGGTCAGGGCCTCACAGTAAACATTCAGGCTTTTAGGGTCATATTATTTTTGATCCAACTATTCAGCTCTGTTCTTGTGGTATAAAAGCATCTGTGGACAAAACACTAAATCAATATAATTAATTATCAAACTTGATTTTCAGAAACATGCAGAGTCCGGTATAGTTTTCATGCTGCATAGTTTCTTTATACCTGGTTTAGATCACAACATTCTTTCCCTAATATTAATAATTCTGAATAATATCAGTAATCATATTTGGTTGCCAGCCAGGGAAAATAACTTCCTTTTCCTCTTCAACAAGCCCTTGCTTGAGAGGAGTAGCAAACACTCCAGAGTGATAATTTAAAAGTGAGTTTTCCAAAATTTGGTGATGATATAACTGAAGATTTAAGGAAGAACAGTATATTCAGGCTAAAATATGAAATATGCATATTAAAAAGGATCACTAAATACAAATCTTTAATGTCTTTTTCTGAGCTTAAATTAAGACATTTCCCTTAATGTCAAAGACAGATCAATATTGATTTGAAACAATGAAGAATGTGTTGGATTAATCCATTTAAACAGCACTTCAAAATTATATACTTACCTTCTTACCCCTAAACCATTCCAATTACATTTTACTATTGTTAAGATTAAAGACACATAACAGTATCAACAGAAAGGAGTCTTCAAAATTACACAAATATGTGGGACACCATAATGGTAAAACACATGTATCATTATGGACTTACACTCCAAAGTAATATGATGCAATTTACATAGTAGGACAACTAGTCACCTGTTCCTGTAGGCTTAGAATTCTCCCGGTGTACAACAAGAAGGGAACTGTTAAATTCCTTTTTTGAATAAGAGGCTAAAACAGTAAAGAAGGAGGCATCAAAAAATACAGACTTAAAAAGCAAGTTTTTGTATGCTCTTCTTTTCTGTGTAAAAGTGAAGAAACCAGTAACACCAGTTTCCATTTACTGGAACTGTGACTTTTCACTTAGTTAACTCTTTTAAAAAGATTTACTGATTTTAACCTGTGGGGGAGGGAGGCGGTCTTCTATCTTCTCATCTTGACTCCCTCATCTCCTCAAACTCCCTCCCCCGCCCCCGGCCCTACACCGTGTTGCTGCAGGAGCATAGGGCTGAGCCTAGTTGAAGCCAAGAGCAAAGAGATTCATCCTGGATTTCCACATGGGTGGCAGGGGCCCAAGCAATCAGCCATCCTCTGCTGCTCTTCCCAGGCTATTAATAGGGAGCTGATAGAAAGTAGAGAAGCCAGAACAGGAACCAGCAAACATATGGGATGCTGGTGTCACAGGTAATGGCTAGCCCCTGTTTAATCTTTGAAAATGCTCTTCAGAAGATTCCAGTTTGAGTTTGAGTTCCTGCTGGGTCACTGAGGTAGGTATGGAGTGACCTGAGGGAAAACTCTGAATTTTCCTCTTCTTGCATAAATAGTAAGTAAAGTAGAACAGCAGGATAATGTGATAAGGGCACTTCAGGTGAAAGTAAAAAAAAAAAAAAAAAAGAAAGAAAAAAAAGCAATGGTCACTCAAAATTGCCTCCTTTCTAAAATCCTGAATTTGAAAGTTCCTTCCTCTAGCCATGCCAGCCTTTTCTTCTTACACTTGTGACTCAATTCTTCACACTGATTCTGTCATTAATTCCTTAAACCTGTTACATTGTAGTCTTTTCTAGGTCCAATTCTGTATGAATCAGTTGCCCATTGTTACATACACTTTATTTCCTGTTAGCTTCAAGAAGTTCCTGTCATCTTTTGTCATTCTGTAATCTATAGCTCACTGCCAGGAAGACTCCACAGTATGCTTGCTTTGATGTTAGCACTGGGTGGCTCAGTGTTACTTAAAGTAACAAAATTGTGCCAATTGGCTCAATTAGAAATTTCTGACTCTATTATTAGTATACAGTGAGAATTAACTCAGAAATTCTTTAATTTACCTCTGGTTGAATCTTCTATTTACACCTCTTCAGAAACGGCTCTTGTTTTGTTTTGTTTTGTTTTGTTTTGAGAAGATACAGGACCTCTGCTGTAAATTCTGTTAAATTTCTTCCTTTAATTATAACAACATTTTGCAGTAAAATCTCTATTTTTCTTTTCTGGGTTAATTGATCTCTATAAGACATGGTATTGATTTTTGTTTCTTCCTTGATAACTCATCACTCACTTCCCATCTACATTACACGGCATGTTAGAGTATATTTTTACTCCTTTTCCTACCTCTATGTACATGTTCAATTATTTGCCGGGCCACATTGTTTTCATTTGATACTTCATGATTCTCTCCCCCCCCCCTAAAATATGGAGTAAGCTCAACTAACACGATTGCTGAATTTTTCTATTCCCAATTTTTTTCCATGCCACAAAATTTACTCAAAAACACTAGAGTTACCTTTTAGTCCCTCTGAATGATCTTGAAAGTCAACCCCACATCCTGATCTTGAAAGTCAACCCCACATCCAATTTTTTTCTAGCATTTCTTTTAACTCCCTGCATTGTGGAAATGTCCCATTGTTGCTGTCTTAATTTCAATCAGTGATCTACAGCTTGCTCTGGAATATACATGATGTTTTCTCAGAACTTCTGGGCTGTTGTATTTGCTCACATCTGCTGCCCACATGGAATGCCTATCCCCAGGGATCTTGCTTGTTGAAATGGTTGTTTATCACTCAATATCCAGCCAGACTCCATTTGCTTTTTTACCTCTCTTCACTTTATCTTCAGCAAGAACACCAGGGGCCTGATTTGTACCCATTAATGGCACTTACAATCTCACTAAAATCATGCTTACTTCTAACAGATTGAAGGTTCTGACAAAATAGGAGCTGCATTTTACTATCATAATTATATACTAGGCTTAATTGTACATACATGCGTCAAATACTGAAAGGTCTTCTTTTCAGTCGAGGAAGTTCATATAGGTGAACAATCTGAGGATTGTATAGCTCAAGTAGGCTTCCCATCTTTACATAATTGGTTAATTAACATCATAGTAGTTAGAGCTATGAAGTGCAAGTCCAGTCTTCCTGCCTATTTGCTGCCTTTTTGAGTTTGAATTCCCCTCTGGAGGGAAAGTGGAGCAGCCAGGATACAAAGCGGTACCCAAATGGGATCCCAGGAACTTACAAAGTGAGGATTTAGCTACTGAGCCATTGCACTGGGCCCATAGTGATAAACTTTTTTTCAATAACAGTTTGTGGTGCTGACATCCCATACAGGTGCTGGTTCATATCCCAGCTGCTCCACTTTCAATCCAGGTCCCTGCTAATGTGTCTCACAAAGAAGTGGATAAGGGCCAAAACCTTGGACCCCAGCACCCATGTAGGAGATCCAGAAGAAGCTCCAGGCGTCTGGCTCCAGACTAATCCAACTCTTACTGTTGTGGCATTTGTGGAGTGCATCAGCAGATGGAACATCTCTTTGTCTATGTCTCTCCCTTTCTCCTTGTCTCTCTCTTGACTCTTTCAAATGAATAAGATCATTTTTAAAAACTGAAAGAAAAAAAACCCCACAGCTGCTATTATTTCCTATAGCGTAAGAACAACATTAAGAAGTAGAAAAAAGCTTCAGCTTTTAGATGAAGAAAAAAGTCTCAGCTGTGTTAAGTGACTGCTAAGTCACCCCCAAAAGCCTAACTTATCCAGGTCTGGGTGACTTACATAACAAGCAATGCATTTTGAAATAAAAGTCCTTGACTTTCATATATTTCATCATAAGATTTAGGACACAAGCAATATTTTGATTTTTGGCCTTTTCATCTTCCTATGTAGACTTCCATAATACTACATTCATGTGGTATTGACATCTAATTGATTTTATTAGTATTACTCTTAAGGAATTTTGAAATATTAAGAACAAGGCAGAGAACTTATGCTGCGTTATTTGTACCCCAAATATGAGTATTTCATATTGTTAACAGATTCTGGTGGTAATTGTACTTATTATATGACAGAGCCAAAAATTAATTTTGAATTGTCATTCAGTGAACTCTGAAGTAATGATCACCAAAATACAGAAATAATGTTAAGAAAGATTTAAATGTATACTATGTTCACCTTTAAAATGTTCATAGTTAGCTTTCATTTGGATTTCATTATGGAAAATATTGGGGTATTATTCCTATTAACTTGCCGTCTTAGTAAGCATTTGTAAAATATGGTTATTAAACTAATGTGCACCAATTTTACACTTTTAGAATAATAGCAAAACTAAGTGGTAGGTGCTCCATTATGATAACCGCTGCACTGTTAGTATAATAGTTGTTAATATAGAAGCAATATTTCAAATATTTTTCATTTTTATTATGTTTCTTTCTCTAGGAAATAGGTTTACTTGCCAGTGAAAGAACAAAAGCTGACAAATAGTACAAGCTAAATACATGAATGGAGGGACATAATCATTTTTTAAAAAAATATAAATGGTTTGTACCTTTATTCCTGTACTCTTCTTTCTTCAATATCAAAACTTTTTTTTTTAATGTTCTTGTTAGTTGCTTAAAAAACAGTTACTGTTACACACTTGGTGGCTATTTTTCTCAGTCAGGCATTTGGACACAGGTCTTCTATTTAGCAATAGGAATACCATATATCTGAAAGTCTCCATATACCAAGTGCAATACTGTATACATGACTTCTACTTTTATTTTGAGATTCTGGACAACGGTCACCACAAACTTGCATGTGACATATATTCACCTCTTTCCTTCTCCCAAAAACCAAAGACAAAATAAATCCACCCCCCCAAAAAATCAAGTAAATATCAGCAGCTTGTTGGACTTTAAATAGCAAAGATGTTAGCAAATATTCGGACCTT